GATTGGCTCCAGCTCTTAGGCCTCAGCTGCTGAAAGTAGGTTTCTGGCCTTTGCTTAAAATGTTGTGGTCCTGCTGGCTGAAGCCCAGCAGGTTTCTGGGGTTTTGTTTAGCTTCTCTATTTGTTACATAGTTGCTTAGAGTTGCAGCTCAGAGACCTGCAGCGGCAGGCGGGGACATTGGAGCCCTCCATCACTGAAGCAAGCAAGCCTCATGTTAGTTTCAAGCTGCCTGGCTGCCGGCCACCATCTTGGCTGGCAGTTAATTTGCATATTGCCCTGATTAGCCAATGGGAAGGGTAGCGGTCGTACGCTAATTACCATGTTTCTCTTTTATTAGATGGGACAATCTTGCATTTAGTATATATGTACAAAAAGTACACATATAAATTTGTCCATGATCCATTCCATAAGTTGATTTTAATTATCTTTAAAAATATTTATTTAAATATTTTATCCTACAGAAAAGAGAAATAATAAAATAAACAACATAATCCTACCATCCTCATTTGCAAAAAAATCCATTTCTTTTAAAAAAACAAAGCATTAAGATACACAGTAAGTCCTCTCTGTACCTTCCCTGGTTTTACTCTCCCACCTGTCTCCTTGGAGGCAGCTCTGATGAACTCAGTGTGCATGAATCATTCTCATGTGTGCGTTCACTTTGCTATAGACTTCTGCAAACGCAGAAATAGGAATTTTAAAACTTAAACTACATATTATCACACTGTACATATATAATTTTAATAATATTTTAAAAGTCAACATTATGTTTTGGTATTTATAAGTATTAATTCATGTAGCTATTGCTCATGTATTTTAACCACTTTTTATAATTCTGTGGTATGACATTGCCATGATAAATTTATCCATTCTCCCACTGTAAGCTTTAGTTTGTTTCAGATTTGGCATGAAAATTCTTCTATATGTCTCATTCAGTACCAACCTGATAATTTATCCAATAGACATACCTGAAAATAGAATTGCTGAATTATAGGATATGCCTTCCTCTGTGTAGCATACACACTAGATTTGTAAAATTATTTCAAACACTATCCAGCAAAAAACCCCAAAACTTTTTATATATCCTGATTAACAATTACCAGATTAATTTTATTTCCCATCTGGTTTTAGAGCTTAAGACATTAGTAACTGTGGTCTTATATAGAGAGATATATATCACCAGTACTCAACTAGTTATACTCTTATTTCATAATAAAGTCACTGCCTAGAACACATCAATGGCCTCCCAACATAATTCTAAGTTAAAAATCTCTGCCCTAGCTCGTGTGGCTCAGTGGATAGAGTGTTGGCCTGTGAACTGAAGAATTCCACGTTCTATTCTGGTCAAGGGCATATGCCTGGCTTGCAGGCTCAATCCCCAGGAAGGAGCATGTAGAAGGCAGCCAATCAATGATTCTTTCTCATCACTGATGTTTCTATCTCTCTCTCTCTCCCTCTCCCTTCCTCTCTGAAATCAATAAAAATACATTTTTTAAAAAATCTCTATTACTAAACTATATATAATATATTTAAACACCCATATAAGGATGCATTCATCTGGCTTAGATTGATAAAAGCATTTGAAATACAAAGTGCCTGAAGCTATTGTGTTTTGATGTGCTAAATTACTTTGCCATGTATTAAATTACTTACTCTGAATCTTCCAATTATATTGAAACACCATCCTTCATTCAGACAGTCGCTGCTGAGCAGTCTACAGTGGTCAATTACTTCCTCACAGCTTTTTCCAGTAAGTCTTGGCATACCACTGTAAATACATCCGTGTAAATAAGAGAAGCTGCCAATTAAATGTTTTCCCTAAAGTGTATTAACAGTTTGACAAAAATAATCATGCTTTGTTTAAATTGCATTCAACATATATTATTACATGATATTTTCATCCATTAATTTTGTCTGGGCATACTTTGCAAAGGAGAAAGGATTTCCATGTTTAAAAGGATTACAGTACATTTTTATTGATGGTCTTCATATTGCCTTTGAGAATTTAAGAGTAAATCAATTTTGGTCTAACTAGATATTAACAATAAAATATAGGTTATAGAAAACTGTTGGAATAAAAGAGACCATTATTGAAATGTGAAGAAAAAGATGACACATGAAATTTTTAATCTTTAGTAGAGCTATTAGATACTGATGACGTACTATCAGAAGTTGATGATATACATGAGTTTTAGACATCGTGTCATGAGTTACATTGGAAAATAATAGCATGGTCATATTTGGGCTAATTTTTAAATAAAGCACTCTTGGAGTATATGTGCATGACAATAAGGTTTTTGTGTGTGTGTTTTTTTAATTGTAATGTAAGTGCCTAATGTTAAGCTTTTGATTTCTGAGGCACCCATTTCAAAGATGTCCATTTTGATCAAATACACAAATTGGCTGCCTATATGACACCTACTAGCTACACAAATAAGTAAGTAGCCAGGCCTACCCTATCCATGAAGTCTCCCTTTTAGAAAGCCCTGGGTAACCTAGATAACAGGCCACTTCGGTGACTCTGCTTTCCTCTCCCTGCTCCCTAATTCTGCTCTTACGTTTTAAAATCACTGATACAAAATAAACTTTTGAAACCCTAAGCACTCCACCCTCGACCATAATAATGGCAGAATCCCAGGTCTGTGCTCTTTCTCTCTACCTGCTGCCTTGGTGCCTGGCCCTTGAAGATGCTATTTATCCTCCAGGACCTTTGAGTAATAAGCTGTGCATTTTCAGGTTCCCATATGGTTGTTGCTGTGCACCTCACAGTTATAGTAAGAACCTGAAAGAACATGTCTAGCCACAACACTGGCTCCAGTTGGGGAAATGTTTCTGAAACTCACCACAAGCAGCCAGGACCCAGGTGACTGCCCCAGGCATTCCTACAAGAGGAACAAATCTGGACTCCAGCTCATTAGCTGCAATCAACAAGGTGTTAAAAACACATACTGGTGTGTTCTGGCTTCCTTTGCACCCACTCTCATTAATTTCTGAGAAAATATTCCTGTACTTTAAATCACATTTAGTAAACCAAATGGGGTACTAAAATAAATGACTGTGTGTTTCTTTAAAGTAAACATTAGAGAATTAAGGACAAAAATTATACTTTTTAAGACTGTGTTGTTACAAGCTGACTTAATAATGAAAGGAATTGTACCGTATATTTATTACTTTAAATTTCTTATTAGAACAAAGGATAATTCATAATAGAAGAAACCAACGGCCTTGCTAACACAGTCCAACTGAAACAGCCTCAGTAAAACATTTTTATAAATTACCTTTCCTACAATTTAAGGCACACTTTTGAAATTCCATCTTATATAATTGAATCATTTCTTCGTTTATATCAATAATAACCATCCGTTTTTTTTTTTCAGGATCTACAATGTGCTGCCACTAAACTAATTGCTTTTACACAATTTTATTATTTTTTCACTCAATGCTTATGAACCCTATGTGAGATATATTATCACCACTATATTATAAATGAAGAAATATATTCTGAGAATTTGTTAGTATTGCTTTGGTCATATCACTAGTTTTAGAGCTGTTATTAAAATTCAGTATAGTCTAAATTTAGTTTATTGTACTCTGCTACTCCATTGATGCCACCTGTTAAGATATGTTTACCTAACTTCTCTCATTCTGAGAACCTAACCAGTGATCCAGAAATGATTCCAAACACCGCTTTGTCAGGAAAAGTCTCATTTCTACCCTTTCCTAGTTGGGGTAAGGCTGGCAGGAAGAAGGAAGCTCTAGAATATCAAACTTTGGTGAATTCCTTATGAGTGGGAATGAATTAAACTGGCCAAGACTAGCTAAGGACATGTGTGGAACTTGGATTTATGTTATTCTGGAGTATGGTTTAGAAAGAGAATGGAGAGTCAGGACTAGGAATGAAATGAAGATCTCTCAGTCATTAATGAGATCAGATCTATAGGTTGCTGGATGAGATTAGGCGGCAGCAACTTGGAGAAAGATGTTTCTAAACATAGGGCTTATTGATCATGAAAAATTGGGCCAATGTGGTAGCACTTTCACTACATACTAAGAAGGAAGCCCCAACACACCATCTGTGACCCTTGGCCCAGGGAGGTGTAACCCAAAGGCAGAGGAAAACATAATTAGAAAATGCCCCTGCGCCAGCATCCTCACTATATACCGGGTACAACATGTGCATCAGCTGGATTCCACTTGGAATTGATCCTGAAGTGTGATGAAAGAAGTTTAAAAGATAAAATTTGAACTAACATGCCTAGATTTATTTATAAGTAGTTTAGTATTAAAATGGGTGCAAATTTTTACAAGACTGTATTCTGGAGAAGAATGAAGGGCCTATGATAGCAATACGGGAGAAATGAGATGTATCCTATAGCAGTGTGGAGAAGAAAAAATAGAGGAGACATTAAGGAGACAGAATGAATAAGACTTGATGAAATCTTGTTGACATTTATTAACAAGAAGGAAACTACAGTGTCAAGTAGTATTTGGTAACTTTCTTCATATAATTAATATATTCTCATTTAATAATTTTACAGTGTTTCTCTTCCCCTAGTTTAAGTTATTTATTGCACTTTTCTTCTTCATAATTAAGAAAGGATACCAAATATTTTCATTCCATTAATGGTAACCTTCTCTTTCGCTGATATATAATCAATCATATTCTTTACTATTTTTTTGCAAACAAATTTTTAATTATTTCACTAATGTGGATACATAATTTTGATATCTATGTTTTGTTTTCCCTCCTCACTACAAGGTATTACTTAAGTAACTTATTTTACTTCTAGATCCTAAATACAGTCTCCTCCACTGGATATCCAATTTCTTTCAGGGGTCTTTTTTAATACCCAGATATTATATCATTATCAATTTAGATTTACCTTTGTGAGTACATGTTGCATGTATGTTCATGCATGTGTGAACATGCACACACATTTTCCCTATTCTAGTCCATTTTGTATTTAGTAAGAATACTTATTTTTTTTTATCGCTTCTCGGCCTTTTGGCTAAGATCAAGTGAAGAATACTTATTTTCTTCATACACATGACCTGAATGATAGTTTTTCTGAATCTCAGCATACACATAAATATTTCTCTCAACAACCAATATACAGCAGTCAGGTAAAATATTTGGGGAAGGCAGTATTTTCTCTCAGTAGCTCATAGATGTTTTCCGCTGTTTCTGCGGCTATAAACGCTATTTCGCTGTCTTGCAGCTACCTGTATTACAAATAAACAATGTGGTGTCACTCTGATTATTTTTTCTTTGTAAGTAAATTGTCTTTTCTGCCTTGCAGCTTGATAGGTACTTCTCTATCCATCAATCTGGCTTGGCTAGAAAACCTTTTTAATATGCAGACTCAGTACTTTCTCCAACTCAGAGAAATATTCTACAACTTGATTAATGATTGCTTTTCCTCCATATATTCTTGTTACTCCTAGAGCTGCTATCATTCACATGTTACATTCCCTTGATCTATATTCCAAGATACTCAACTTTCTTCATCATGATCCATTAACTAATTCATCCATTAAGTCCTCAACAAATAATTCTTGAGCTCCTACTATATAGTTATTTTTCTCGACATGGTGCATATTTTGGTGAACAGATTCTTTTCCTTCGTGAGGTTCATCTTTTAGTGGGAGAGGTCAAGTTAAAGTGGATAAGTAGTGGCTATTTTTCCCAAGTTTGGCAGGGACAGCTTCATGGGCAAATTACTATTTCATAAGGCCACAAGAGTTTACTGGGAGAATCATGTATGTACATGAAGATAAAAGCAGGTCCTCATTTCTTTATTTTTTTTTCTCTACTTTAAAACATGTTTCTTTCATGGAAATATCCTAGATTTCTATAATTTGGGACAGCATTTCCCTTTAAAATTTTCAACTAAATTATTTAATTAAAAAGTATATTTTCTAGCTGCAGTCTTGAATATATATATGCGCTCTCATGAATCTCCTGACTTATTTTGACTGTAGTTATCTAATTTAGTTGCATGCTCTCCCTTCCAGAGACTCAAATACCCACAAGTTATATTTGTTTTATTTTAATTCATTTTCTTCATTTAATTTGCTGGTCTCTCTTGCATGAGATAGTTTTCTTTGCTAACTCATAGGTCTCAGTTCTGTTGCTACAATGTCCTAAGTGGCGAATCCTTCAGCAAATAGAGGCCAATTGGACTAAGAAAGTTGAAGCTACCAGTCCCCTCTTCAGAGCCAATGACCTGGCCTCTCTCCTCCAATATATCACGGACAATTCTCCCACTTCCTGCCGCTAAGAGGCTTTAGTCCTTCAATTCAGAACCTAGTTGATTCTTTCTGGCAAAGGATACAAAAATACTAAGGGGCTGATTTTGACTTGCTCTCGAATATTTAAGGTATTTATACTGATTAAGTATGCACTATTTTCTAGGTATTGTATTGGTATTCCTTATACTAATTTACAAAACATGAAAAATCTGCAGAAATTGTGTTTATTGAGATAGTCAGAGAGCTGAAACCTCACTCATTTTAGCTGGCCAAGGTGTCCAGCAGCCATTCTTATCAAAGTAATCAGCAATTTGAAATACAGGGATGGGGGGGGGGGTCAGGGGAAAATGCCTCTTAGCCCAGCCAGTGTGGCTCAGTGGTTGAGTGCTGACTTATGCACTAGAAGATCACCAGTTTGATTTCTCTGTCAGAGCACATGCCCAGGGTTGCAGGTTAGATCCACAGCGGGAGCATGCAGGAGGCAGCCAATTGATATTGATGCCTCTCTCATCTCTC